TCTTTCTTAGGAAATCTTTCCCCAACAAAAAGCCTTAAAAGTAGTCTATACTCCATCTCTAAAATATTTTATTTTTATGTGTATGAGTGTATAGCCTGAATGTATGTAAACGTACCTGTGCCATGCAATGCCCATGGAGGCCAGAAGAGGGTGTTGAATCCCCTGGAACTGGAGTTATGGACAGTTGTTAGCTGCCGTGTGGGTGCTGGGAATTGAACCCAGGTTCTCTGCAAAAGTAGCCAGTGTTCTTAACTGCTGAGCCATCTCTCCAGCCCCATATATTCCATATTCTGTATTTCATTCTAGGGTTTAAAGTTTTTTGAATCTTTGACTCTCCTGCAAGTGATCATGGTAGATGGTGTATGGTGGGACACTTCCTCTCCCAAGCATGGGCAAGTCCTGACTAGACCCAGAAACCAACAGGACAGAGGGGGCCCCATTGTATTAGGATGACTCCAGGGCCAGCCAGAGGGACAAAGGATGAGAAAACAGAGGACTGTGTGGACAAGATGACAGCAGAAACTGAGCACATCTTTTGAGAGTCACAGCCAATCTATGGAGACCTCACAGGAATCTACTAGGATGGCAGTAGGCTCAGCCTTCCAGAGCTCAGAGCTGTAGGATCCCAAGCAGGACCAGGCCAAGGAGGGCTGCCCAGTACCTGCTTCCATCCCTCTTAGACCTGTATCTGTGAGAGTTCCCTGGTCTGTCCGACCCCAAACCCTTGGCCAATCTGCACTATGACAGGGAAGCAGTGCTCCTAGAGGCCAGTGGACCATCATCAGCTGGAAACTCGACCAAAGAGAGCTCACTGACATGAGCGACAAAGACCACAAAGTGCCACGGGGTACCTGACATTAAAACGAGGGCTATGGGGCTGGAGAGAAGGCTCAGCAGCTAGAGCACTGGCTGTTCTTGCAGAGGACCTGGGTTTATCTCCCAGTACCCACATGGTGAAAGATAACAACCATCTGTAACTTCGGTTCTAGGGAATCCAACACCCTTCTCTGGACATTTCATGACACAGGTGTACTTACATACATGCAGGCAATACACTTATACACATATTAAAAATAAATAAAGAGGGGCTGGGGACCTAACTCAGTTGGCAGAGTGCTTGTCTCTCATACACAAAGCCCCATATTTGATCCCCAGCATTTGAGCCAGCCCCCAATCCCCAGCCTTCTTCTGTGTGGTCCTGGCTCTTTTTTTTCCAACTTGTTTTAGAATCTGTTAAAGTTCCAGGAAAACTGGTCCAAATTTTGAATAGTTTTGCCTTGGCTTATGGGTTAAACAGATGATTTCTAGATTATACTTTTTTTTAAAACAAGGTCTCATGTAACTAACCCAGAGGTGCTAGACCTCACCACAACATTCTGGACAATCTGCCTAAGAGCCTCCATCACCACTTCCAGACTCACAGCCTCATTTTCTATCAGCAATGACCCAGAGACTCTTCTTCCTCCTAGAAGCAGGTCCCCTTGAAACCCACCTGCAGAGAAAGAGACCTGCCTCCTGGAGCTGGGCTTTCTGAAGGCCAGCTAATGTCTGGTCACATTTGGAAATCATACATTTGTCTCCTGGCTTCAAGGGTCTCCGCCTGCCTGGCTGGGTGTTTTGCTGAGTCCCACCTGCATCCAATTCTTCTTTGCATAGCTTTTATTTTCCTTCCTCAAAGTTTCCCTTCCTCAGTGCAGTGGTGATTCAAACCCCTAAATTCTACCCAGACCTGCTAACCCTAGTCAACCCTGAAATTGTCCCTACAAGCCATTCACTTTACAAGGCTGGACAACTTTAGTGGGCTAAGACTCTAATTAGGCCTTTTTGTTTGATGACCACTCTGACTTTTCACTGAACCTGGCTGTCTTGTTTTAAATTAGATCATGCAGTTACACTACATTTTGGATCGGGTTAGTTTTGTTGTTGGCCTTGAATTTGTGATCCTCCTGCCTTTGCCTTCTGAGTACTCGAATTACAGACATGTATACCACTACACCCAGTTAGATATGCTGCTACCTTTGAAACCTACCCAAAAGGGGTCACAGTGTTCCATCTTGTGACCCCTTTACTCAGTTGGAAAGAACTTTGTAGAGATGTTTGAAATGCCTTTCCTCTTAACACCCTAACCCTAGGAAGCATGAGTCCAGCTGTGTCCATGTGAGGGAAATAAGGGCAGTGTAAGGGTGGCAAGTGGTACATTGACTATACCCACCTCAGTCCTTACTGCCTCCTGATGATCTGCTAACAATGGTTTAACTTTTACATATTGATCTGGTACCCAAACCTTACCTTAGGTATCCAAGCCCTTAGTCATCACCTTGATTTTTCATTGTAGACAGTCATACTACTATGCAGACAGTTATAAACTATTTCCCCTCACTTCTTTTTTGTTGTTGTTTGAGTCTTGATATGTAGCCCAGGCAGGCCTCGAACTCGCAATCCTTCTCCCTCAACCTCCCGAGTGCTGAGATGACAAGCATGAAGCGCCACACCCAGCTTCTGTTCCTTTTTTATATTTTTTGTTATCGAGACAAGGTTTTGTCAAGTAGCGTGGTTAATCTGGAACTCACTATGCGGAGCATGCTAGTCTCAAACCTGCAATGGTCCTTCTTCCTTTTCCTCCCAAGAGTTGGGATTACAAATGTACACCACATGTCCAGAGATTGAATGATTTGCTTGTTTGTATTTATTTACTTATTGAGACAAGGTCTTGGTATGTGTGTATCCCTGTCTAGATTCAAACTTACTATGTAGACCAGGTGACTTTGAACCTGAGGCAACCCTCCTGCCTCAGTCTCCAGAGTGCTGCAGTTACAAGCATGAGGAGCCATGGCCACTTATGCCTTTAATTTGTAGTACTGATGTATTATACTGATAAACTGATATATAAAAACATAGAAGTCAGGGCTTGGATGTAGCTCAGGTGGTAGAGTGCTTGCCTAGCAGCACTACATAAACCAGAACTTGGGATGTGGAAACACGAGGATCAAGTGAACAAGCTTGGCTACACAGCAACTTCAAAGCCAACCTAGGCCACATAAAACTCTGTCTCAAAAAAAAAGCATAAAAATTGCACCTATTGGAACTGGAGAGACGGTTCAGCGGTTGCTCTTGCAGAGGACCCAGGTTCAGTTCCCAGCACCCACGTGGCAACTACCATCTGTAACTCCAGTTCCAGGGGAATTGGACGCCCTCTTTTGACCTCTACAGGCATTGCATGACATAGGTGCACTCACATACATGGAATGTATGTAACACACATTAATTACATATAATTACATATAATCCAGTTATGTATATCTGCCTATTGAGATCTTTTCATTTTTCTTTTTTTTAGATTTTTAAATATTTTAATGAGTGTATTGCCTGCATATAAGTGCACCTGTGTTGTGCAATGCCCACAGAGGTCAGAAGAGGGTGTCAGATCCCCTGGAACTGGAGTTACAGATGGTTGTTAACCTCCATGTGGGTGCTGGGACCTAAACTCAGGTCCTCTGCAAGAGCAGCCAGTGCTTTTAACCACTGAGCCATCTCTCCAGTCCCTTTTTCAGATTTTAATTGTGTGTGTGTGTGTGTGTGTGTGTCTGTGTGTCTGTGTGTGTCTGTGTGTAGATACATGTACAGGTGCCCTTGGAGTTCAGAGGGGTCAGATCCCCTTGGAGCTGGAGTTGGAGGCTGTTGTAAGCCACCTAATATGGGTGCTGAGAAGTGAACTCAGGTCCTCTGCAAGAGCAGTACAAACCTTTTTGTTTTTGAGACAGTGTCTCCTTTATAGCCCCAGCTGACTTGGAACTCACTATATAGACCAGGATAGCCTCCATCTCACAGAGATCTGCCTGCCTCTGCCTCCATAGTGCTGGGATTAAAAACATGCACCACCACACTTGGCTTTAGCACACATTATTAACTGCTGAGCCATCTTCCATCTCTTTGAGATGGAGAGCCATCTCTCTTATGCTGGGGGGTCAAACCAGAGCCTTGTGTAAGGCAAGTGTTCTACCATTGAGCTATGCCCTTAGTCCCATATATCATTTATTTCCTTATCTCAGATTACATCAGCTACATTTTTTGACAAAGTATTTAAAAGCAGCAGGTCATACAGGCAACTTTTCCCTGAGTGTATCTGACAAGAACACTAAATGTTTTCCCACTTATTAGGCAAATCATCCAGTGTGTTTGGTTATAGGCAGCCAATGTAAATGGATAAGGATTTATTACAACTTTCAGGTGTTCAGCTCCAAGAAGGACACAAAAATGGGCTTTTTGTGATGCTGTCCAGAAAAATGCCAGCATACCAAGGGATTTTCCTAGTGGACACACCATGGCCACCACAGTCCCAAGACTGACACAGATAGATACCCAGTCAGATACCCCCAGTTGAGTACAGCTGTCCCTAAAGACCTGCCCCCTAGCATGTACCACCTTCTATGCAGAAGCACTCACCCCTATGTGGAAGTCCCACCTACTTACCCACATCCACGTGCTGGGTAGAAACCTGAGTACCTTGACTACAAGGGAATTTGGGAAAGATGATGTTCAGGAGGACCACCAACAGTGAGAGAACAGAAGCCGGGTGAGCCCGATACCAGTGTCCTGCCAATACTTAAAAAGGCCCACAAACTCTGCGATCAGGCAACTCTGGGAGTATGAAGAGCCCCCTGTGCCTCCAGACTCAAAGCCATAGTCCCTGTCCTCAGTCCCTGGTGACTCTAACCTAGTCCCATATCCTTGGTGGACAGAATAAGCAGTACGTATGGCTGTCCTGGGAGCTTTGAGGAGCCACTGAACCTGCCTGCCTCGGATGCCTCACCCTCAGGCTCAGCCCCCTGGATGTTCCTAGACCCCTTATGCATCCCAGTTTCTCCAGGTACATCACTTCAGGTGGTGGTCAGCCATATAAAACAACTTCCTTTTCTCGTCCTTTCTGTTCCCTCTGTTCCTCCTGCCTGCCTATGAGCCAGAGCGGTACAGGAGGTCCCTAATGGCCTCTCTCCCAACAGGCCTCCCTGAACCCCAGTAACCACAAATTGGATGAGGACCTATGCCAGACACTCACACAGCGCTATGTGAACATCATGAACAGGCTGCAGAGTCTCGACTACAATGGACGGGTGCACCCAGCACTGACAGAGCAGCTGGTGAATACTTATGGTCTCCTGCGTGAGCGGCCCGAGCTGGCAGCGTCTGAAGGTGGCTCTTACACTGTGGACTTCTTGCAGCATGTGTTGGTGGAGGCTGTGCACCCCAGCATGCTCACTGATGCCCTCCTGCTGCTCTCCTGCCTCAACCAGCTGGCTCATGATGATGGCAAACCTATGTTCATCTGGTAACATTGGTGCCCAGCTGGCCCAGGCTCACTCTGCCTTATACCCCTGTGCATGGCCATTAAAGTTTCCCACAGAGACTCATCATTGGATATATGCCACACCTGCCTCCTCCTGTGGGCGTCTCTCCAGGAACCTTCAGTCTTCGCCAGCTCTAGAGGTCCACATCCATACAAGGCTCATGGAGAGACCTCCCAGATCAAGACTCAAAGGCACCTGAATGGGATTGAATGGAAGGCCCCCAGGTCCCTTTCACTTGGTAACTGAAGCAGAAGGCGTTCTGAGACTTGGAATAAAAAGGAGCAAGAAGCTAGGAAGGTGTGGTGGCACCCGCCTTTAGTGCTAGCACTCGGGAGATGGATCTCTGTGAGTTCAAGGAGGAGGAGTAGGGAAGGAGTGGCACAGGAAAGGAGGGTAGTCTCTCTGCTAGGCAGAGACAGGGAGGAGGGGCAGGGAGCTTCAGGACCTTGGGGGCAGGTGGGCAGTAGGGAGAGCCAGAAACCACTTCATCCAAACCAGGGCAGGGGCATCCAGGAAGATGGTAGTTCCTTCCAAAAATGCCAGATGTTTGGAAAGAGACCTCTTCCACAGAGATCTGGAGACCTGAAGCATGGGGGATTCAGAGATGGCCAAGAGCTGAAGACATGGGGCTAGATGGAAAAGCAGGATGAGGCAGGGAAAGGAGGAATAGGGGCTTAGACTGGGTGCTGGAGGAGAACTCCTAACTGAAGTGGGGAGGGCTGTGGTACTACAGGAAAGGTAGACTAGGCCTGGATGGATTATGGGGACTCATGAGAAGGGCAGGGTAGATAAAAAAGCCTGGAGTGGCCTCTGGTCTGCCTCCCAAAACAGTGCAGAAGTCAGGGCTGTGATGAGAAGAAAAAGAATTCAATCACCAGGGTGTCAGAATACCAGTGCTTGCCAGTCAAGGAATGGAGGGGCCACAGGACCTGAATTCAAACCTTGTCAGTAACCAATCAAGAGTCCAGGAACAGAGTGGGTATGAGGTGTGCTAGAGTCCTCCAGCTGAGATGCCAGGCCCTAGAGATTACTGCCTTCTGCCATGCCACTCTAACTGGTCTGGGGACTTTAGGGGCCTCAGCCAGAAGCTTAGACTCTTGCTTAATCCCTGGGAAGAGATGGGAAAGGACTCCACCCAGAGATATCTTTGTGGTCTGCCTGGCCAGATAAGGCTCAAAAGTGCCCCTACCTCCCTGGCATCTGAGGAAGGGCAGCCAAAACAAACCTGCAGGGGAACTTAAGAGGCACTTCTTGTGTGATAACAGGGTGAGTGCTGGCTCATAGCTGCAATTAAGAAGGTGGACATCCAAGGGGGCAGAGAGAAGCCTGGAAACCAAGGCTACACTCCTGTGAGAACCTAGTCAGTGTTACAGGGCTCACAGAATGAGGAACTGGTTTCCACCTGGCTCAGTGCCCGGGCAAGCAACCTCCAGGGGGGAAAAGTAATGGAGCCTCCCCCACTGAAAGTTCCTTGATCACAGGCCACAACCACAGCAGGTCCTTGGTGTGGGGTCTTTACACTCAGGTGCTAGGCACTGGCACCGGCTTGCAGTTTGAGAGGCTGTGGTGAGCCAGCCTGCTGTGCAGCCAGACCGACCAGGAGGAGAGACAGAGAGGTGGGGAGCTGAATGAAAGGCTCACAACTCAGGCCCGCGCTCAAAGTGGGTGCGCCTGCACCTCACATCCCCTCGCATGAGGCGGGAGCCCTGGGTTTTTCTCTGCAGGCTAAATGGGCAGGGAGGCGCGAGGAGGAGCTGAGGCGGGGCTGTGAGGTCAGGGTTTTCTGTTCTTCCTGCCTGCAGCTGCAGAAGTTCCGAGCGGGTGGAGGCAGCGTTCGGAACCCGGGCTCGCGGGTCGCAACGCCTTAACAGCTGCGCGCACCGGTTGTGCCACTAGACCTTGACCTCCGGCTGCTCGAGCTCTCTCTTACGATTCGACTGGCACCCTGGAAGTGATTGAGTCTCCCGGACGTTTAGGAGTCCAGGAGCCTGGTGCACTATGCAATCCCCACTCGACTGGTCCCCGACCCCTGACGCCCTACAGCCTTCTCCTTCCGCGCACCCAGAGCTGCCAGCCCTGCACAGTGTGGCCTGCGTGCTGCTCTTCCCCGCCTTCTGGTCTCTGGACCAGTTGCTGGGCTCCTGGGCACCTCTCGGAGTGGCCGAAAGTCCTAGCAAAGAGCGGGGCGAAGTCCTAGCAAAGAGCGGGGCGGCGCTGCCGGTGCTCACGGTGGCGGGCCAGCCCCTGGCGCTGCCAGGCCCGCCGCTCTGGCTGCCACTCCAGGCCTGGCGCCGCCCCTACGGCTACCGGCCCCCTCCGCTCCGCTGGGTGCCGCCGCGGCCCTGGCACCCGCCTGCCGAACGCCTGCGCTGCTTTGCCTTCCTCACTGCTGGTCTGTGCCTGCTCCCGGACGGGCTGGCACGCTTCAGCAACCTGTGGCACAGCCAGCCGCGCGCGGGGACCATTGGTACCATGCTGCTCAGTAGCCTTCAAACTTCTCTCTATGGGGCGACCGGTTGCAGCCAGCCGCTGCCTGGGGCATCCAGCGGGGTGCTGAGGGCCACGAGACCTTCGGGTTTGGATTTCGTGTGCCTACAGGAAGTGTTCGATCTCCGTGCAGCTCGTCGCCTGGTGCACTTACTGGCCCCGAATCTGGGTCCAGTACTGTATGATGTGGGCACAGTCGGCCCACGACCCGGGCCGCCATACTTCAACGTACTGGGCAGCGGGCTTCTACTGGCCTCGCGCTACCCACCGCTGCGTGCCACACCTTTCTTGCTTCCCTGGTGCTCGACACGAAGATGGCTTTGCTTCCAAAGGTCTACTGTCTGCTCAGGTACTAGCCCGGGCTGCAGTGGGCCCTCGGAGGGAGGGGGCTAGCTGCAGGTCCAACCAGCAAGGAGAACTGGGACTGTGGGTGGTGTTGCAGGTGCAGCTGGGCATCCTGGACGGGCGCCGTGTGGTGGGATACCTGCACTGCACGCACTTGCAGGCACCAGTTGGTGAGCCCTGCAGGAGGGGTTGTTGGCACGTGGCCACCCTCCTCTCTAGTAGGCAGTCGCCTCTATCTTCACCTCTATTCCTACCTCCCAATGTTTGTTCACTGCCCCTAACATCCCAAGAAGTGCCCGGGTGGGTACACAGATCAGGATCTGGCCGTGGGGCTGGTTCCCACGCCCGACTAAGCTAATCACACCTCTCCCCCAGAGGATGGGTATGTGCGCTACCAACAGCCGACAGCTGCTAGACTGAGTGGAGGAGCTTGAGGCTGAGAGCCGACAGAGTGGTGAAGCTGTGGCTTTCAGCGTGCTGGGTGACCTAAACTTCGGTAACTGCTCAAAAGGTGAGAAGCTGGGGGCAGGCGGGGCCAAGAGACCCGGCCCCGCCCACTAAGAGCCGGGTTTTCCTTCACAGATCATGCAAAGGAGCAGGGGCCCAAAATCTTCAACTGCTTCCAGGACCCCTGCCGGCTGGGCATCTGCCAGGAGCAGCCCTGGGCCCTGGGTACTGCAACTGACGAGTGGAGGGGGAAGGGCAGGTTGGGGGGGATGCCCATCCGCAAGGCTGTCACTGATCCACCCTCCATGGATTTCCACAGAAACAATCTTGAGTACTTCCACGCTGCACCACACCTCCCCAGAGATGCTTCGAAGGTAAGAGAGGTCCTTGAAGCCAGGTACTGTTGGCACAGACTAGCTAGCCTTAGTTAATCGAGGCCCCCCCCCAGTGCCTACTGAATGTCACTTGCTCCATCTTCTGGAGGCAGGATTTATGCTTAGGGCTGGTCTCATTTCGGGCAAGGACGGCCTCCCGGAGCTCTGGCACTTACTGAGTTCAGCGGGCCCCCAGCAAGCCACACAGACCATGAGACACCACACCCCAGAACTGGGTGGCTCAAAGGATCTTTATTGGCCTATCACACAGCTTCCTGGGCACAACGGTACTCATAAACACTGCCACGTTCTGGGAAAGCAGGAGGTTGTGGGGGTGAGCCTCGGGGTGGGGCAGGGTCCTCAGGGTCCCCATAGCCCCCACCACCAGGAGTATGCAGGCAGAACACGTCCTGTGGAGGGGAAGGGCCAGGTTCAGCACTGGTATAGCCTTGTCCCCCAGCAAGGATATGGAATCAACCACTCCTGTGGATCACTGAGGCCAGTAACTGGCCCTCTTTCCCTTGGGGAGTCGAATTAAACTTAGACCCTGTCTGATTATTTGTGCATCTTTGTTCACCCTCTGAGGGATGAGAGGAGGGACGAACAACAAGGACACATCTCTTACCCCAGGGTACACGGTCACAGACGTCTTCCCGCCCAAATTCACCTTGCGACCATCCTTTCGGATCAAAAGGTTTAAGCCACGGGCACCAGGCTCACCCCCTACAAGCAGAAGCAAGGCGTGGGGATGTCCAGGGAGGCAGGGGCCACGGTGAAGGTGGAGGCAGGGCAGAAGGCACGGAAGGGCTGGGGGGGTCACCCACCATAGAGGCCGTAAGGCTGGAAGGCTCGGCGCTCAGTAAGCACAGACAGCAGTGCCTCCTCCCGAAAGACCAGCTCTCGGACCACCCCATCACCTCCCCGGAAGCGGCCTCGGCCCCCAGAGCCCAATCTCAGCTCAAAGCGGCGTAGGATGACCGGGTACCTGTGCGGGTGAGTGGCACAGCAGAGGTGAGCACCAGCTCATCCCCCAGTTCAAATGCTTAGCACCTGGAGTGTACGCTCACCGACTCTCCAGGATCTCTGGGTCAGTGATGCGTGTGTTGGTCATGTGACTATGTATGCCGCTGCGCCCATGCCAGCCGGGGCCTGCACCCGCACCACCAGCCACCGTCTCATAGTAGCCCATGCGGGTATTGCCAAGGGTCACATTGTTCATGCAGCCCTTCAGAAAACAGGCAATAAAGGCATTTGGCTAGTGAGGGCATCTGTTGCTGCCCACCCTGCCTTTCAGTAGCCCCCAGACCCAAGTCCACCACACCTGGGAGGCTGCGCAGGCCCCAAAGGCCCCCAGGATGACATCCACTATGCGCTGCGATGTGAGCACGTTGCCACCCACCACTGCTGCCTCTGGGGATGGGTCCAAGATAGAGCCTTTAGGAATCACCACATGTACAGGAGCCAGGCAGCCCTGTGCATGGACAGGGTGATTAGGGATTCGTCCTGCTCCAGTAAAGATAAACACGCCCCCACTGTAGTCTCAGCCCATGTTGGGCTTTGTCCTCAGGGTGACCTCACATTTGGGGTCCACCTGCTGACCTCAAAGCACATCCCTGCAAACCTGGTTAAGTGGGATATCTCGGCCCACTAGACAGCGCAAGCAGTAGATGAGGGCAGACAAGGTAATGGCCCGAGGGGCATTGAGATTTCCGAACACCTCCGATCCAGTGCCGCTGAAGTCAAACACAGCACTACCCTGCCGGTGGATGAGAGAGGTGTGGCCATCAGCAACCACACAGTCGTGCCCCAGATGCCACTGCTGGTGCCCTCCCTGCTTCCCCCAGATGCCACCTGATTCAGGTTGATCTGCACATGCAAGCAGATGGGAGAGCCATCATCCATGTGGTCTTCTGCAGACACTTCAAGGGGCAGGCCCTGGGCCTGCCGGGCAGTTCCAAAAGCCCGAAGCATGTCTCGTACAGCCAGTTCAGCATTTGCCTGGCAGGGAGAGGGTTTAACTCTAACCATGCCACCTTCAGGGTGACCCAGCTACCTTGGGGATAGCCACAGCACTGCCATATGCTCCTGCTCCCAAGCCCACCTGAATATGTCCCATGTAGGCCTGCACTATGTCCAAGCCATATTGTCCAATCAGCTCTCCCACCAGCTGGATGCCCTTCTGGTTGGCTGCCACCTGAGCACGGAGATCTGACAGGTTGTCATGTAGGTTCCTGGTTCCACTACAGCCAGAGATCTTTCCGGGTGCCCGCAGGGCCTCCGTCACCGCTGGATGGACAGGGTCACCACTGAGCCACTTTCCATGCCCTCAGCTGTCTGGGTGAGGTGATGGAACAGGTACCTGCCTGTTCCACACCTACTACACACCCCCTGTTGGCCCTCCACTGGCTTCCCACCTCCCCTGTTGGGAACCCCTGTGCTCTGAGGGCTGCAGGCTCTACCCTCCTGCCGAGGCTTTTCTTTCCTATGACCCAGCATCCTTGAACATCTTTAGCAAACAGCTGTGCCACTGACTTCATTGAAGCAGAAGGGCCTTTGGGGAGGGTGGAGCCTTAGCAAGCTCATAAGCTCATCCTTCTGCTTTCTCTAGACCCACCCCCCACTTCCTTTCAGGGAAAAAAAAAGCACATCCTTGAAACACACACACACACACACACACACACACACACACACACACACACACACACGCCTCTCCTCTGCTCTGCCCACTCTAATTTTCACACACAAACAACTGCCTCATTGAAGCAGAAGGGCCTTTGGGGAGGGTGGAGCCTTAGCAAGCTCATAAGCTCATCCTTCTGCTTTCTCTACACCCACCCCCCACTTCCTTTCAGGGAAAAAAAAAGCACATCCTTGAAACACACACACACACACACACACACACACACACACACACACACACGCCTGTCCTCTGTTCTGCCCATTCGAATTGGCTTCCACAACCAAGTGCCTTAAGAGAATCAAACACTTGTCTGTGCTGCCCTCTCCTTCAGGTTTCCCAGATCTGGGTGAGGCTCTGCCATCTGACTACACCTGGGGAGAACCCCTTACCCTCCAGTCTGGGTCATGGTCTTCTCTGAGTCCCACTAGCCACTGCATCCTCTGCCATGTGTTTGCACTCCTGTCTCCATGATCTACCCATTACCCTATTTGTGTCTGTGGTACCCACAGTGGCATATGGCTCTGTTACTCCCACTCTCTACCTGCCCACATCACCTCAACTCTGAGGAGTTTCAGAGTTTCTGCATTTCTGAGTTTCTAGAACCCTGTGACCTCAGACCAGTGCTGCCTTTTCCAGTGCCCCCACCTTGCCTGAAGCTGTTCTCTGTTCAGTGCAGGGCCTCCATCCCGCAATTGTCCAAAACTACCCCTCAAGAACCCCTCTCCAGATTCCATCAACTTCTTGAGTTCCCAAACAGGTCCTTCTATCCTCCACCAGCTGGATGCTCACTATCACTAATGGTGACTGCCAATGCCCCAGCTGACCACTCTGCCCAGCCTCAGGGTCACTCTTCAAGTAGGTGCACAGGCAGACTAGTGCAGCTCCAGCCACCCCACTGCCCAGTGACTCAGACCCAGGCCCAGAAGGTTCTCTAGGATCCTGCAGTCCCCAGATTCAGTGTGGATTGCAGCAGCTGCCAGCCTTGAAACAGGCCTTTCTATACACTCTGCCCCTTGAGTGTCCCACAGCTATCCTTCTGGAGGCCATCCTGGATCCAGGTAGAATTCATCTCTCAGCTCCTCTGCATAATCTGAGATGATCTACAACTGCCCTGAGAGGTCACCGCCTGTCTCCCCCAACCCTCAAGGCAAGTCTGATGGACTATATGTATCAGGTTCCTGCCCAGCTTAGTTCCTGGTAGCAGCCATGCATCCCAGCCTGCTGAATCCTCTCTGTGACCCTACTCTAGCTCACCCTCCTCCTGGAAGACACCGCCCTGGACCAGTTTGAAGGACAGAAAGACGGCACCCTCCTGTTGCAGTGTGGTAGAGTGGGGAGGCATAGAGCCTGGCGTGATGCCTCCAATGTCTGCATGGTGCCCTCGGCTGGCCACATAGAACACAGGCCTTGTCTGGCCAGGCCAAAACACCTAAGGGGGTGGAAAGCAAAAGCAAGTGTCAGCTGCACCAGCCACCTCTGTGCCCCTAACAGCAGCCAAGGCAGCATTCCTCACCGGTGTGATGACAGTCAGGTCTGGAAGATGGCTGCCCCCTGCACTGGGGTGATTGCTGAGCAGAACATCACCAGGGTGGAGTTCAGCCCCCAGGTGCTGGATCTGAAACCAGGAGGCAAGTGCAGAGTAGAGAAGGAAAGCAAGGTCATGGGCTAGGAACGGGGCAGAAGGAAGGGTGTTGCCGTTACCACACCTGGAACTGTACAGTCTCCTGCATGGCACCCAGGTGCACAGGGATGTGGGGCGCATTGGAGACGAGCCCCCCATCAGGCCCAAAGAGAGCACAGGAGAAGTCGAGGCGTTCCTTGATGTTAGTGGAGATAGCTGTTCGCTGTAGGATGCGGCCCATCTGCTCTGGGGGTACAGAGTGACCAAGTACCTGATGGTCCCATCATCCACATGCACAGCCTCAGGAAAAGGTGCAGGACCCACAAGGTCAAAGCCTCCAAGGCCCAAACCCAAGACCCAGCAGCATTTCCTGTACCCTGGGAAAGACCAGGGTGGCAGCATGCCCACCTAGGCAGTAAGGTTACAGCCAGGAGTATTTTAGTTTTTGGAAAGGGCACTGCCTTCCTTTCTAGCTTGCCCTGGACTCCAGCAAAAGCCTGGGGCCTCTCTCCACAACCTTCCTGCCTGGTACATCAAGGGCCTGGTCCCCAAACACAAACCCCTGGGCTCCTAAAAGCCCACGGCCTGACTCTGCATAGATGAGCTCACAGTAAGAGACCTGTGTTTTGTCCCCTAGATAGCTGCAGATCACATGGCTCCTGATGTGAAGAAGGTGCTTGCTCTGCCTGGGGCTTGCAGCAGTGGTACGATTTTAGAACCAAGGCCATGCTGCTCCCCTGTCACCAGGGAGGACCCTGTCTTTCCCCTTGGTGCACACCTTGCCACGTTAACGTATGTGACAAGACCAGTGCTGTCAACCACCCCACCCATGCATGCTCTCGCCCAGTATACAGAGCCCTCGTGTCCTACACCACAAGGATCGGCCCTGTAGGGAGGACAGCGGTGGCTACTCACCAGCAATGCTCATGAAGCGGTGTGAGAAAATGGACAGCTGGATGGGGTCAAGTTTGGTGCCTGTCATGCTGGGGGCCTCAGCTCCCACAGAAATCCGGATGTCCCCCGTCTCTGTTACCTCTGCTTGGCAACCTGGCTCTATGAGGATGGTGCTGGGGGCAGGGGACACAGAGGAGCTACAAGAAGCCTAGCCAGAACCTCCTCCCAACCAAGGATGTCACAGGTCCATGCCAGGGGAGACCCCAGTGATGGAACTTCTGCAGCCTTGGGCCAGAGGATCTGCTGCAAAGGGCCCTGTAATAACCCCTCCAAGGCTGTACCCAAGCCAAGCTTCATCTTACCTGTTGTTGTCAATGATAAGGCAGGGCCCCTGGAGCTGGTGCCCATAGCCCAGCTCTCCTAACAGGTACACAGGGGTCTCCTGATAACCCCCCTCAAAGTAGCACTGGGTCACCTGCAGAGTGTAGAATGAGCTAGGCTCCTAGGGTGCCTTTCCTAGAGCCTCTCAACATCACCAGGCCTCCCCATTAACATCTTTCCCCAGGTTCTATAGAAGTAGGTGGACCAGCATGGCAAAGCCTCCAACCTTGTCTACCCGGGGAGGCCCAGTCTGGGTTTTGGAGGTCTTCTCCAGCTGAAGTCCACTGTGGCCAGTACCCCTCACCCGCACGTCGTCTACCACCACCGGTCGCTCAGGGATGACGAAGCCAAATTCTCTCATGTACCTGCACCCACCCATCCAAGGGAGCAATCAGAACTAGGCAGACCAGACTAGGCTCTATTGTATATGGTCAGTCATTTTATCTCATTGCTCTCAAGGTTTCTTTAGCCTTCGGTTTTTGTTTTTTGGGGGTGTTTTGTTTGTTTTTTTGAGACAGGGTATCACACAGTCCAAGGTTGGCTTCAAATTCAATATGTAGCCAAGAGTAATAACCTTGAACTTCTGGTTCTCCTGCCTCTGCCTGAGTGTTACAATTTTGTGTATACACTACTGGGGATCAAACCCTGGGGCCTAATGCATGCTAGGCACGCACTGTACCAACTGTACAAACTGAGCTGCCTTTCAATGTTAAAAACAATTATTACATTTATTTCTCTATCTACTATCTATCTGTGTATATATTGTCCACGCATACGCATGCATACCACAGCACACAGGTAGAGGGAGAGGACACTTTGGAGGAGTCAGTTTTCTCCTTCCACTATGTTAGTCTCAGGGGTCAACCAGACTAGCAGACCACGCACTGGGCTCCCAGGAGGAGGGCATGCCTACCTCTCAAAGAAGGCTGCTCCAAAGTCTCCAGCACGGGGTGAGCAGGCTGTGGCCGGGTGCTGGTGGGCAGACACCATTAGGGCACAGTCAGTGCCCTGGTATCGCAGATGCAGAAAGCTCTCAGTGCTGATTTGAGACCTGCAGACAGAAGGCAGGTGGGGGTACTCACCCAGTGCCTCCTGAGAATGCTTGTCCTGTCTACCCTAAGTCCAGGAGTCCCTCTCTGACCATTGCAATGAAGACTCAGGACCACCTGCAAAGTTTTCCAGTCGTACACCACAAAGAGGATGATGACAATGATGCCAGCCCTGTGTTCAATGGCCCATGATCCTACCTAGGGAAGCCCTGAGCCTGCAAGGCATCCACACACTGTTTCTCGAGGCAATTCAGTCTCTGGTCCAATTGTGCAAAGGTCTCAGGTGTGTAAGACAAGGAGCAGGGCTCCTGTGCTTCATGTACCACATCTGCCAGGGCCAGTCCCAGTGCTGACAGCAGTCCGCTGTGCCTGCAGATGGGGGTGGCACAACAGTGGAGAGATACCCCTCAAAGCCAGCTCCCCAGCTGAGGGTACATGCCCATGGATACACTCACATGTAGGCCTACCTGTGAATGTGCACAGTGTCCATGCTCAGGGCCCGGGCAATGGCACACGCATGCTGCCCACCAGCTCCCCCAAAGCATGCCAGTACATGGGCCGATGGGTCATGACCTCGTGCCTGGTGATCCAAGAGGCATCAGTAAGAAGCACCTATCCTAGACAGCCCCCCACTTCCCATTGATAGGATGACTGAGCAAATGGATGGGGGTAGGGCTGGGACAGACAGGTGAGCAGCACTGAGAAGGGAAGGCCCAGCAGGGCAGATGCTAGGTCTCACCTCTGCGGTACAGGGGCATACCTGTGTGAGAGCTCGGATGGGCCGGCACATTGCTTCATTGGCAACACGCACAAACCCCATGGCCACCTCCTCCAGGCTCAGTGGGGAAGCCGGACGGGGCCCACTGGTCAAGAAGCTGTTAACCTCAGTAGCCACAGCCTCCAGGGCCTTTCGAGAGGCCTCTGGGGACAGTGGCTGGTCTTCTTCTGGCCCAAAAATGCAAGGGAAGGAGGCCGGCAACAGGCGACCCAGGACCAGATTAGCATCCGTCACTGTCGCGGGACCCCCTGGGAGGTAAGCACGGTGTGGGCTGGAGGCTAGAGACAGGGACCAGAAGCGGGTAGCAGGGAAGGGGCTGAAGGAGTCGGGTGGACCTAGAGCAGCGTTGAGGAGGAAAGGCCCGATGGCAGGGGAGATGCTAGCTCTCACCTTTGCGGTAACAGGCAGGCCCTGGGTGGGCACCTGCTGACTCTGGCCCAACAACAAAGAGGCCTGACCTTGGGAGATAAAGGACTGGAATTAGTAGTGGTGGGGAGGAAGGAAGCGCTGAGAGTTTCCAACAGAAGGGATGGGGGCTGACCTGAAGAAGAGGCGGGAACCCCCACCAGCTGCCACTGTGTTGATATCCAGCTGAGGGGCTTGGAGGGTAACTCCGGCTGTGCTGGCCTCAAAGACATGCTCAAATTCTCCAGCATAGCGGCTGACGTCCGTAGATGTGCCTAATGGGGGATGAGATGTTGGTAGTCACCCCAAGGCCTATAGCCCCACCTGGCAGATGACTCCCCCCGCCCGAGACACCCACTTCAACCTTCATACCTCCCATGTCAAAGCCAATGACAGGCTGACCACCCTCTAGCTGGTAGGTGGTAGCTGAGTAGCCAACCACACCTCCAGCAGGGCCAGAAAGCACAGCCCGGGAGCCATTGAAGGCATCCATGGGTGCCAGACCACCATCAGAGCGCATGAAGAGCACCTGTACATCCTGTGGGGGAAGATGGGAGTGAGGTGCTAGGCAGGTGCAGGACTAGGCCTGGAACAAGGTGGTCAACAGGCCTCACCTTTAGCTGGCCCTGGAAGCCACGGCAGAAGCCCTGCACATAGCGTTGGATGGTGGGAGTAAGGTAGGCATCAGCACAGGCTGTGTGTCCCCGAGGAACGATGCGAACCATGGGCATGGCTTCCGAGGACAAGGACACGTGCGTGAAGCCCAGCTCCTGAGCTAGTGTGCCCACCTGCTGCTCATGCTGGGCCCACCTACAAGGAGAACCCAGTGACACTGTGCCTCCCACCCAGGCTCTCCCCTTCCCTTAGGGTACCCCAGCCTCTACCCACAACAGGTGGCCCTCACTCACGTGTATGAGTGCATGAGCACCACAGCCAGGCTGCGGATTCCCCGAGAAAGGAGCCCCTCCAGCTTCCCACGCAGAGCTCCCAGATCCACAGGCTGCTGTACTTCGAGCAAGTCACCTGTGCGGCCTGAAAGGGCCGACAGCCCCAGTCAAAAGTTGTTAGGATCTGCCTACCCCCAGAACCTCACACAGGCAGTCAGCAGCACCCACACCTTTGACAGGAGAGCTGGCGCCTGGTTCTCCATGGTACAGCACCACTCGCTCCTCCACCTCCAGCACCTCCTCATACAGTACCTCTGGCATGGGCACAGCCTGAAGGCAGGCAGAGGCTCAGAAGAGACCCAGGCCTGAGGGTTCTGCTGGGTCCTGCGTGGGCGGGGCAGTGCAGGCAAGGGGATGTGTCCCAACAAGCCAGAAGACTTGTCAAGACGATTCAGCAAGGCCCACCCAGGAGGCTGCTCTCTGCACCCAGGCATGTAAGTGAAGTGGAACCAGCTACCATACCCAGGAACCAAATGGGACTATCTCCTACCCCTCACCCTGAACAGTGGCTGGCTTGGACTGGTAGAGTACCACAGGCTAACTTGGAAGGTGTAGGGACACAGGGTCCTCCTGGCAGTGCTCAGAAACTCCTTTATACCTATCAGCTAGCTAGTGGAGTTAGCCATCACTGATTCACAGGCCTCCCCACAGGACCTTGGCAAGGGCAGTGTACAAGCTTTGCCTGGTACCCAGCTAGTATGGGAGAGTTTACCAGGTCAAAGAGGTCGGGTCGGGCCTGGGTGCCGATGTGCAGCAGGTCTCGGAAGCCCCGTGTCACCAGCAGTGCCACTCTTTCCCCCCGACGCTCCAACAGCGCATTGGTGGCCACTGTGGTGCCCATGCGGATGCTGGCAATTCGACTTGTGTCCAGTGGCCGGTCACGGGGCAGCAACATGCCCCCCTCCTGGGGACCACATGGTCAGTGTTAGTCTGGGGTTAGATCTCCCTCCACCCCTGCGCCGACCTGGCCCACCTGCTCCAGGATGCGGCGGATGCCCTCAGTGGGTGCGTCGGCATAATTGGCAGGATCCTCTGAGAGTAGCTTCAGGACCCGCACATGCCCTCCTGGACACTGGGCAAAGACATCGGTGAAGGTGCCCCCTCGGTCGATGGCAAAATGGAAGCGTCCTTCTGGGCTGCCCATGGTGGTGGAGCTGGAGTCCAGCAATGGCTCTTCAGCTGGTAGTCCTGGGAGAACTGGACAGAAGAGCTTGTCACTGGGGGGACCTGAAGGTCATGCCTGAGGAGAGCAGGTCTCTAAGCAGAGGCTGGAATGGATTCCAAGAAGCAGGTGGATTCCAAGTCCAAGAGAGTCCCCGGGGAATTGCCAGCCACAGGTTAGGACGGAGCTGTAGGACCCAGGTCACAAAGTGGAGCCGGAGCCAGGAAAGCAAATCTGCCAATCCAGGGACTCCATGACCCAAGTCCCAGAGTCCTGGTGCTAATGGAAACCAGGGCCTGGAGTAGAGGTGGAGGGGCCGCTGGGCCCCGGATCCTTGGGCTGGGGAACCCTGGGTTCTTTGGGCACGAAAAGGCACCTGGATTGGAGATGGCAGGTAAGGCGAGCCCCACTTCCCGCTTTGCGCAACCTTCCGGGCCAAGGCCACCGGGACGCTAGAGCCTGCGCAACGGCGGGGCGGGGCGGGGCTGAGCCCAGGAACTGGGAGCGGAGCCTAGGGACGGAAGCAGGAAGGCGGGGGGAGGCCAGGAGCCCAGCACCGGACCCACCTGCGGAATCCGCTCTGGTGGCTCCTAGCTTCTCCACCGCTCAGCTCCCAGGACCTGCCCCCACCTGGGGGAGGAGCCTACGGAATCCGCCCCCTGCACAACTGGTCCAGGCACGCGCTGCCCTCCCGGTTGCGTAAACACCGGCTTGTCGGGAGCACCTCCTTCTTTGCCCAGCGCAATCCAAGGATGGCAGGACCGAGTGGCCCAGCCAGTGGGGGCGGACCCAGCGCTTTGGCTCAAGGGCACCTTGGCCCTGCGAGCTGCTGGGCCTCTGCGCAGGTTCTTGATCGCCAAGCGTGGGCACCTTGACACCCACCTTCAGGCGCTCTAGGGCAGCACAACTGGTTGCGCCCCAAAATAATAACTCTAATGTACTCAGACTGCATCCCGGTGCTGGAAGCCCGCGAGGGGGGCTAGTGAGGGGTGCTACTGGGTAAGGGGCGACGGGAGAATAATGAAGGGGGATCTCGAGGAGGACCTCAAAGGGGACCTAAGACCTTGTTTGAGCATGCACTCTGGCACTGTCGACCCCACAGTGCAGAAGTGGCTCAGAATACCTCAACCTGATGTCTCACCTGGGGTGAGACACACACACACACCTGGAGCTGATGTTCCCCCTAGGGAGTTCCTCAGAGTGACACACCCGATAAAGACAGGGTGATTTCCAGGGCACCTTCCAATCTCCTGTGTGTTTACCCAGCCCTTAAGTGGGCCTAGCTCAAAGGAGGGGGAAGTGGACAGACAGAGGAGGCTCCGGGACAAAGAGAATTCTAGGCAAGGAGGGCAGGAAAAGGGCAAGCCTTGTTTATTGTTGAGAGGTCTCTTTGCTGTTCTGTGGGGTGTAAGCCCCAGGAAAGCAGAGATCCTCCTCACTAGGCAACCTTACACTTCCTAAGACAGATTCAAGGAAGCCTCGGTTGTCCACTCTGGCTGGAAGTGGGGGGACAGGGCATCTGCAGACAGGGCAGAGGCTGGACTCAGGTCAGTCCTAGAAAGAGTCCTCATGAGGAACCATTTATCATCCAGAGTGGGAGAGGAGGGGGCTCTGGATTTTAGAGCAGGCAAGAACTAGCCGTGTGAGGTTGCCCTACAAAGGTGACCCCCAAAGGAGCAGCTGCTGGGACCTTGGGAGCTGTATTGAACCCACAGGCCTCACCCAATGTGCCAGGCCAGACAGGCTTAGGGAACACCTCAGCCCCTCAGCCTAAGCACCCTACTGGCTCTCAGAGCCTACTTGGGCTTGGGAGGCTAAGTGCAGTGCAGGCCAGCTAGCTGTGCATCAGGTTTGCATGCTCTGGGCTTCACCCCAGGCTACATCAGGGTTCCTCTGCCTAGTGCCCTCTGGTGCTCACACTCTGCCCTTGTGTCCCCTATCTTATTGATATCTAATGTGCTAGAAGTCCTGTTACTTAAACTTTTTCAAAGTAAATCCAGAGCCAGGCCTGGTGGTACACTGAGATCACTTACCTGATTAAGTTAGTGAGACACTATCTCAAATTAAAAAACAAAAAGGGCTGGGGATATAGCTTAGTGGTAGGCTGCTTGCTTGGCATATGTGAGACCCTGAGTTCTGTTCCTAGTATAAAGAAAAACAGAAACAAAAAAATGTGTGCTCTGTGTGTGTGTGTGTGTGTGTGTGTGTGTGTGTGTGTACCTGAACATTTTTCACCTTGGCCAAGATTTTGTGCCTTCACTCCAGAGGTGGGACTATTCACTATTCTGTCAACTCAGGGAGCCCAGGGAGCCCAGAGCCAGGAGACAGTCTGCCCTCAAGTTCCCTCTGCCATGCAAGGCCCAGAAGTACCCTCTGTCCTCTGAAGCAACCTCATAGCCAACTGGCTGCTAGTCCAGGGCCTTTGGCACTAACTGCTCCCTGTTTAAAAGCTGTCCCCCAACCTCATGCCTCTCTTAATTACAGCTCTACTCAGAAGTCATTTTTTCAGCAATGCCACCTCCTCCCTCCTGCATGGGCATCCAAGGGTCCATTCCACCCTCTCCCTGAGCTTGCTCCATCTTCCTCCACCCACCATCAGCACCCAATAGGCCACTGATGGCCACACTCCACAGGGCAGAGCCCTTGTCTGACTTCTTTCCATTTGGGAACACTCTGAATGAGAGAATTCTGTATACCTGCCGTTGCTCACCTCTCTCAGCATTCTTGAATTTGATGGTCCTACACCTGAGAACCCGGGGATCGGCAGTTACCTCTACCAGGAGGCTGGAGTTGCAGAAGCCCAGGCTGCTTCCCCTCTTCCTATGGACTAGTTTCAGTTCTTGGTTCTCCTGGATGAGCTGCACCAGCCGCCGTAGCTCCTCATGCTCCTGTGCCAGCCGCTGGATCTCCTGCTGCAGGCCTTCATAACTGCTGAGGAGGGACATGCCCAGGAGCAGGCACAGTGGCTGGCCGGTGGCTGGCAGGCTGGCCAGGGATGGCAGACCCCTGCCATTGTGAAGTCAGCAGGTGCCCTGGCCTCTGCATTCTGGATCTTCAGGGCCAAGGCCCAGTCTTCTGACTATCTGCAGCTGGTCTTACCTGCCCCTGATTTCTAGCTCTGAGGCCTGGACACCAGTGGTGCCCAGAGTTGCCCCAGGCCTCTGGTTTCCTTCAGAATTCAGGAAGCAATTCCTGGAAGACAGAAGCTTTTCTACCCCAGCCTGGCTCAGGTGTGTCACAGGGGTTGTGGGGGATTCAGGGTCTCTACCATCCACCTGCCACTGACCACTGGCTAGAGCCCCTTGGCCTCCACATGAAGACATGGATCTGGTATTAGAGCTGCTTTGTAAGGACCAGGATGTTTCTGGCCTAATGAGAGCTGGAAAAGGACAGCAGTGACCAGGGCAGGTCAGCACACAGGAGCTGAGTGAGCTGAGAAACACAGTAGGACATGGGAAAGGCCTGCAGGTAAAGAATTAGGCCAGGCAGTGAGCTGGCCTAGGGGCTGCTGGCTGGCTGGCATTGTTACTTGGAAAGTGAAGCAGGTGGGCAGATACCCTGGAGAAGACATCTCATCTTGGCCACAAGAAGGAGGGCAGATTGCTGTTGGACCCATCAAAGACTGAACATTTGGCCTGACAGAAGGAATTGAATTTTTGGGGTTTTGTTTTCTTTGAGACAAGGTCTCACTATGTACCTCTGGCTGGCCTGGAACTCACTATGTTACACCTGGCTGGCCTCAAACTCACAGAGATCTGCCTATGGGATTAAGGGCATGTGCCACCATGCCTAGCTTATATTGGACTTTTTAAAAAAATATATTTATAAAGGACTTTTCCTCCACCCAGTCTGATTTGTAATAGGATATTTCTATATGGTTTTGATTTTGTGATCTTTTCTTACATTATGATTATTGTTTACTTTATATCCTTTCCTTTTTGCTTGTGAGTAGATTTCACTTGTTCATTTATGCGTTCTCCCAGAATTTCCACATCCCTTCCCCAGCCCAGGAAACCGTGACAGTCTTTTATCTGTGGCGACAAAGGTGGAGGATGGAGAAGAAGCATATAGAGACCTGGAGCCACACTGCAGGAGACTGGCCACTACTGCCCTCAACAGAAACCCAGGAGTGACCATTTAAACAGCTCCAGGAGGAAACAACCCCAATCCCAGAGAATACAGAGTATTTCTGACAGCACTAGAGATTTTAGCTCAAACAAATGGCAAGCCCAGTGAGTTACACCCTGTCAGTCACCCTGAGTACCAGAGGTGGACAAGGATGGGTAACATTCCAAAAAAGGGCCCTGGTACATTCCTGCCATATACCTCACCATCCTCAAGCCTGTGCATAGGATGACCTTGACTCTCATGACTAGGTTATGTTATTGGCACAGCCAAGAGATAAAGGCAGATTATCTCAGATGTGTCTGACCTCATCAGGTGGGCTCTTCAAAGGACAGGTCTCTTCCTGGCAAAGAGATTCAAGGCAGGAAAGAGATCCCATGTAAGGGAGATGGCCCCTTGCTGAAAGGTGTCATGTGGCAAGGATGGGGTGGCCTCTCAAAGCTGACACACCAGAGTCAAAATACTGAAGGGGCAGCCAGGCGTCGTGGAGCACGCCTTTAGTCCCAGCACTTGGGAGGCAGAGGCTGTCGGATCTCTGTGAGTTCAAGGCCAGCCTGGTCTATGTAATGAGTTCCAGGACAGCTAGGGCTACAGGGAGACCTTGTCTCAAAAAGACCAAAAAAAAAAAAAAAAATACTGAAGGGGCTGCTGAAATGGCTCAGAGGGTAAAGGCACTTGCCGCTAAGCCTGACAACCTGAGGTCAATCACTGGAACTCACATGGTGGAAGGAGAGAACTGATTTCTCCAAGTTGTCCTCTCACTTCCACATGCATGTTGATGCAGCCCAGTTGGTACAGTGTTTGCCTAGCATGTGTGCCAAGCCTGAGGAGGACTAGAATTCAATCCCCAGTAGTGCACACACATAATCCTAACATTCAGGTAAGAGGCACGAGTATCAGAGGTTAAAGTTATCCTTGGCTAACATACTGACTTTGAGGCCAGCCTGGGGCTGCATGATACCCTATCTCAAAAGAAACTGAAAGCTGAAGCCAAAGGAGAACCTTGAGAGCAAGAGATGACTAGTCACCTACCAGAACCCCAGTGAGACTAACACCTGACTTAGCAGAAACTAGGAGAGCAGAAGACAAAAGAATCCACTTGATGCCAGGAAAAAAATGTCATTTTTTCCATATTCAGGAAAACTATTTCTTTTTTAATATTTTATTATTTTTATCTTATGTATATGAGTGTATTGCCTGCATGTATGTAAGTGCACCCGTGTCATGCAATGCTAACAGAGGTCAGAAGAGGGCATCAGATCCCCTGGAACTAGAGTTACAGACAGTTAGCCATGTGGGTGCTGGGAACCACTCCTGGGTCCTCTGCAAG